TATATATATATAAACCCTCAAGCTACCTGGCCTCTGGTAGAGGACCTGAGCTGAATGGGGGACGGACACCACCCGAGGGGTAAGACGAGGATTTATATATATATATATCCTCGTCTTATACTGTATGTATATATATACATATATATTTAATAGGCATGCAGTAACACAGTTACACGTTCAATGAGTTACCGCAACAAAATAGTGGTGGTGCCTCGAGCATGTTGAGATTTGCCCTGTTGATTCAGCGTGGTTTGCAGTTGCAGAAGTTGGCCGCCTGTGTGGCGCTGTCCACTCCCGTGGTGCTGAAAGCAGCTCTGACTCACTCTCCCCCCACCCTTGCTGCTCCCTGCCTGGCTCTCTCCATCTTCCTCTGTCGCCCACATTGCTGCGCAACAGACGAAAATAACAAAAGTGACGTCCAGATCGTATATACATATTGAGAAATGCATTATTTAATATAACATACGGCTTCATTTTTCATCTTGATATCAGTGACTGTTCAAGCACAGTCACGATCTGTTTGCCTTTTAATTTGTAGTTCTGTGTTTGTATACCTGAGAGACACAAAGTGCATGATATGCACATATTCGCCATGTGGCGATAGTACGAAAAATTGTATCGTTTGGGATGGCATTCAACACCTCTTTATAGCTCATTGAGCTCCCCCTCCCTCTTCTGTTGGTTTGCTCCACAGACCTCCATCCGGGTATTTGATATGCTCGCGTGGCAGGCAGGGTAAATTCAAGCAGTGAGCACGAGATGACGTGCGAAGGCTGCACTTGCTCTCTCCAGCCACTGGAAGGCGATGATCAGCCTTGTTGAATTGGAGAGGACCTGTATGTGCTATGAATAGATAGATTTGAAGGAGTGTTCAAGTATTTTGGCCTTGGTTTAAATGTGTAATTCAAATTAGTATTTAGTATCACGTATGAATTTGTATGATGCAGTGTGTTCAAATAAAGACATATTACATAAAAAAAAATACTGTAATATTAAATTAGATTTCGTATTTTACTCCATTTAATATGAATAGAATTGACTGGACATTACATTTGATTGAACGGATGTATTAAAATAAAGTAATGTAGTATTAAATTAGGATCTTTTTTAACTATCCCTATTATTACTTATCTTTGTATTCTTCATAAAATAAAATAAAAAAAAACTTGAGTTGTCCTTTCGTTATGAATAGGTTTGACTGGGTATTACATTTGATTGCACAAATGTATTAAAATAAGGGAATGTAATATTAAATTAGTATCTTTTTGACTATCCCTAGTTTTTTCTTATCTTTGTACTCTTCATAACGTTCAAGAAAAATTTGAGTCGTCTGGTCGCCACTGTAAAAATACACTATTTGGTATTTTGTGCAAATTGGAGTGGCCTTTCAATCTACCTCAAAATGCATGCTGGTCGGTGTTGTCAGGTAAGCTAACATTTGATTTGAGTGGCATAATAATGAAGGCTGCATGTTGTTTGAAGTCATTTTCCACGTTTTTAACTAGTATTTGATTACATGTTAACATATTCGGCGTTTTGAAATAAGGTACTCTAATATTAAATTTGTATTTTACTTTTTTCAAAATTTTATGAGAACCAGTATAGTTCCTACGTTGTTTTAGATATTGTACTTTATCATATGTTAACAGAATTAAAGACAATGTTTTACGCTGTTGTGCATGCACATTTTGTACGAATATTAATGGCCTTTCAATAAACGTTAAAATGCATGATGTTGAATTGTTGTGAGATATATTTGAGTGGCATAATAAAGGGTGTATATTGTGTGACGTCATACACCACATTTAAATTTGGATATAATTTATATGTTAATACGATAAATATAATACTTGACTGATATTCGCATATACTTATATTTAATGAAATCGTGTCCGTAATATGAAATTAGCATTTACTTTTTTCCATGTTTAATTTTTAAAAGTATTTCCTTTTTAAAATATCAATTGAACAGTATAGGTTAGTGTGCTAATAAAATCAAAGACAATCTATTTTATACTAAGAATGGATTATGCATGATGTTCGTTAATGTTATGTTAGAGCCATATAATATTGTTATGAAGGGTGTCTGTTTAAATGTGCTATTCTACAATATAAATATATATTAAAATGCCGACATAATTCTATTACAATTAAGCACTCGGAGGTTGAATTAGTGTTTGACTTGTTTCAATATTTAATTAAAAACGTACGTGTTTTACAACAAGTTTTAGATTTGTCTTTTGTAACATGTTAATATATATTGTACATTCATTGCTGCAAATAAAAATATGCATAATTTGTATAATTTAGTATTTTATTTTATGTATTTATATATATATATAATATTTATATATATATA